AACGTTACATTTTCAAAAAGTACTTTAAACTGTATAAATAAGTTACCCGGCAATTGATTTACATCAGCCAATTAGACAAATGTCTGTCTATAACCTGGTGCTTTAGGTTCAATAACATTGTCTCTGATACTTTGGAACTTCAATAGTGTCTGTCGCCTCCGGTACTTTGGGTCTTCATTAGTATCATCCCTGGTATTTCTGGTTTATTGGGTCTTCAATAATGTCGTCCCTAGTACTTTGGATCATCAATAGTCGTCTCTGGTTTCTTGGGTCTTCAATATTGTCACCTTTGGTGCTTTGAGTTTCAACAGTGTTATCTCTGGTGCTTTGGCTCTCAATAGTTTTCACTTGCGTTTTAGATCTTTAATAGTATCGTCTTTGGTACTTTGGGTCTTCAATAGCATTACCTCTGATGCTTTAGATCTTCAATAGTAGTTTTTTGGTGTTTGGATCTTCAATGGTGTCATTTTCAATACTTTGGTCTTTCAATAGTATCGCCTTTGGTATTTTTGGCCTTTAATAATGTTGTCTCCAGTGCTTTTGGAATTCAATAAGTCTTTAGTGCTTTGGGCCCTCAACAGTGTTACCTCCAATGCTCGGGTGCTGTCTCTGATGTTTTGGATTTCAATAGTGTTGCAATACTATCATCTCTGGTTCTTTGGTCTTCAATTGTATTGTCTCTAGTACTTTTGATCTTTAAGAGTGTCGTTTCCAATACTTTGGATACTCTATTATATCATCTCTGATGTATTTTAGGTCTTCAATAGTGTTGTCTTTGGTGCATTAGGTCCTCAATAGTGTCGTCTTTGGTGCTTCGAGCCTTCAATAGTGTTGTCTCTGGCACTTTTATCTTTAATAGAGTTGTTTAGGTCGTCAAAAATATTACCTTTGGTGCTTTAAGTCTTCAATAATACTATCTCTTGTGCTTTAAATCCTCAATAATGTCATCTCTGATGCTTGTAGTTTTTAATAATATTATTTCTAATGTTTTGGACCTTCAATAATATTATCTTTGATGCTTTGGACCTTTGTTATATTGTCTTTGATATAGTTGCCAATTTTATCATCTATATTTTTTTTATAATATATTATATATTGTAATATTTACTAGGGTAGAAACTGTACTATGTTTTAATTGTACTGTGCCCGAAACTTACAAAGCTTTATAACTATTATTATTCCTGGAACATCTGATAAAAATTAGCTGAATGACTACCAATTTAATTATCATTTTAGCATAATAGATTCAAATTGATATATACAATTTAATATTCGATAACTAATTATCAAAAAATTATACAATCACCGAAGTGACTGTAATCTAGCTCAGATGGCTCTAACGTTGCTTCAGGTCTCGCAGAGACACCGCACTATGTCATACATAAGTATTTACTTTTAATAAAACTGCTTTTCACTTTATTGCCAGTCAAAGAAACTGACTAATTTTCTTTATTTACTGTCGCTATTTATTTGATTTCAATAATACATACTTTTGTACTATACTTAAACTATTTCTGCATTATTATTAATTTAATAAACTCTAATTTATCATTATTATTATGCATTCGGCAATCATGGTACCTATTGTACCTGATCTTACTTATGCCGCCCGACATTACGATTTCTTACCATGACCCCGATCGAGATTTCCATTTCACCTTTTTACCTCTCGATTCACTATATATTTAACTCTATTCGCATCTATTTAACTAAGTATAAGGGGTTTTTGAAACTATGCAACACTAATATAAATACTACAAGACTTTAGTATATTCAGTAAGTACATTTATATTTCTAGTTAAATACAAAAATTAATACTTTTGTAGCACCTTCATTGACAAATACAGTAATTGAAAAAAACTTTAGAAGGCTTATCGATTATCGAAAGATATTAGTTTACTTTGTAACTAAGTTTTTATAATAAGGATGGTCTTTATTTTTTGATAATAATGGGTTGTAAAACTTGAGTGATTTTGTATTTATACTAATAATAAACAGCGACATTTCATAGAGCTGGATTTTTATATATTAGTTCTGAATTTGTTTTTTGTTTTTTTAAAAAAAAATCAAGTTAGTGAAAAATTGTACTATTTATCAAATTATATTGTTAATATATAAGTAATACAATGTGTCAATTTTAAATATATATTTTTATCGAATCTTAATTTACATCAATAATTTGTCTATAAGCTGGCTTTTATCTTCTAATATTTTTAATATATAATACAACTATCCTAATCAAACTATTATTTAATGCTACTATAAATAGCTATTAGAATAACAATTATTTAATACCAACCTATCTCTTAATATGTAGACCAATGCAGGCAAATTTGCCTGCGTTTTTGCACTTTTTTAGCTCTGATTTACTTTTTTAAAATG